TCTTTTGATTGGCGGTTTTTTAGAAACCCGTATAAGGAAAAATAATATTTTGGCGGCTATGAGTAGGTTTTTACCAGGGTGGAGATATGATACTAATTACTCGGATACTGTTTATAATGGCAGAATTGTTGTTGTTTGGAATCCAGCACTATCAGTGGTTGTATACTTCAACTCTGATCAGTTGATGATCTGTGGTATGATGAATCTTGCTACGAATTAGAGTTTCACGGTTGGTTTTGTGTATGCTTGGAATTTGGAGGCTGATCGTAGAGCTCTATGGTTCCTGTTGGTTAGGTTTGCTGATTCAGCTCTTCTGTCTCCCTCCTCTTGGATCGTTTTGGGAGACTTCAATCAAGTGCTCTCCTTAGATGAAAAATACTCCCTGTACCCGTATATGGTTTCTTTGCAAGGAATAACTGATTTTCAGGAGTGCCTTGCCTCGTTTAGGCTGTTTGATCTAGCTAGTAGAGGCTGTCATTTCACATGGACCAATCGCCAAACTCTGTACCCGATATCTAGGGAGTTAGACAGGGTCATATGTAATGAATCTTGGCTTGATACTTTTCCTCACTCTTCTGCTGAATTTTGTGCACCTGGGCCTTCTGATCACTCCCCATGTTTGGTGAGTATTTCTCCGGTGGAGGTAAGAAGGAAGACCCCATTCCGATTCTTTTCCTTCTTATCTTTTCATCCTGATTAAAAGGCTCTCTTAGACGATTCTTGGCATGATTCCACATTCCCGGGCCAGTCTATGGAAGTGTTATGTAGGCGTTTAAGGGATGCAAAATTTTGTTGTCAATCGCTTAATCAGAGGTGTATAAGTAATGTTCAGCTTAGATCCAAGGAAGCGCTAACTAAGTTGGAAGATATTCAAAGCCAGCTGCTTATTTCCTCGTCTCAGCCTCTGTTTGAAGAGGAGCTGTCTGCTTGGAATGATTGGAATTTTTGAGCTGCGTCGGAGGATTCATTTTTTCAGCAAAAGTCACGCATTCGTTGGCTGAACATGGAGGATCAGAATACGAGGTTTTTCCACAAGTCAATGAAGTCTAATTTGGTGTGGAACATCATCCATCATCTGCGATCTGACAACAACTCAAAGATCACTGACATTGCCCAAATGAAAGCAATGGTGGAGCAATATTATTTCAACTTGTTGGGGTCCTCAAATCAATCTATTCCTCCGTACTCTGTTCAGCACATTAAGGGTATTCATCCGTTCAGGTGTGGCTTGGCTTTAGCTGAGGTCCTGTCTTCTATTCCTTCTGCTGAGGACATTCATCTGACGGTTTCCTCCTTTCCCAAAAACAAGGCTCTGGAGCCTGATGGATTAACTGCTGAGTTCTTCACCTCGTCCTGGGAGCTAGTGGGTCCTGATCTTATCTTGGCGGTTCAGAGTTTCTTTATGTCTTCTCGGTTGCTTAGGCAGATTAATACTACTGCTATAGCTCTTATCCTGAAAAATGTTGGTGCGGAGAGGCTAGCTGACTTTCGTCCGTTTCTTGCTGCTCTACTGTGTATAAGGTGATATCTTGTCTTTTTTAATCTAAGTTAAAGCTTTTCCTGAGAGATGTAGTGCAAGACAATCAGGTTGGTTTTATTAAGGGGGGGCTGCTTTGCGAGAATGTGTTATTAGCCTCCGAGCTTGTTTCTGATTTCAATAAGCCTGGAAATACTACTAGAGGCTGTCTTCAAGTGGATCTGACGAAGGCTTATGATAGTTTTGAATGAAAATTTGTCCTTCGTATTTTAGAAGCTTTTGAGTTGCCAGATGTCTTTATTGGGTGGATAAAGGAATGCATTTCCACTCCTTACTTCTCTGTTTAATGGTGAGTTGGTAGGGTTTTTTCAAGGCAAGAAAGATCTTTGCCAAGGAGATCCAATCTCTTCCTCTTTGTTTGATATTGCGATAGACATCTTATCTAAGGAGTTGGATCTAGCTGTTGCATCCAATTTTTTGCTTCCCATCCTTTATGTGCGCTTCCTTTAGTCACTCATTTGAGTTTTTCGAATGATGTGCTCTTATTTTTCGATGGCTCAATGAGATCCCTGGATGGAATAATGGAGGTGTTGAGAAAATTCTACTTAGCTTCAGAAAGTCTTATCTCTTTTTGGATGGTAGTAATACCCAGCTTAAGGCTCAGCTAGCTTCCAAGGTTGGTGTTTCTGCGGGCACTTTACCAGTCAGGTACCTCGGTCTACCTCTTTTACCTTACAAGATGAAGCCTGCCGATTATCAACCCTTGGTTGACAAAGTGAGGAGTCACATCTCCTCATGGTTAGTGAGACACCTATCTTTTGCTGGGAGGTTGTAGCTGATAAAATATGTCTTGGATGGCATTGTCAATTTCTGGTCAGCCGTTTTCCCTATTCCGAAATTCTGTCTTGCAGAGATTGAACGCCTCTATAGCTTTTTTTTTTTTGGTCAGGTGCGCCCAACTCTGCTCGCGGTGCCAAAATTTCTTAGGCCTCTGTATGCAGTCGGAAAGAGGTTGGAGGGTTAAAGTTTCTTGAGGCTTGGAATAAAGTCTTCGGGTTAAAACTCATCTGGCTACTTTTCTCTAAGAGTGGTTTGTTATGGGTTGCATGGGTGCATAATAATCTGCTTAGAGGAAAGGATTTTTGGGATGCAAGTGCTGACTCGAGGGGTAGTTGGATTTGGAAGAGGATTTTGAAGCTCCGTCCGCTTGCTAGATCGTTTTTGTGTTGCACTGTTGGCTCGGGATCAACTGTAAGATTTTGGTCCGATGATTGGACCGGTCTTGGACACTTATTGAGATTGTTGGCGCGAATGGTCCTCGGGTTACAGGAATTTCTCGCCTCTCCATGGTTTCTCAAGCTGTCATTAATGGGCGTTGGCGTATCTCTAGAGGTCGACACACCATCGCGTCTTTGCTTTGTGACGTTTTCCCGGCCGTTGATTGTATCAGTCCCAATGTTATTGATGTTTTCCTTTGGAGAAATACTCTTTTAGGTGTTCCGGGTGTCTTCTCCTCGCCGAAAACTTGGGAATCGTTGCACCTGACTGGTCAGCTTGTTTCCTGGGCAAAGTCAGTTTGGTTTTCTCAAATGATCCCCAAGCACTCCTTTATTCATTGGGTGGTTGCTAGGGATCGTCTCCCGACTCATGACAGGCTTCGGAGCTAGGGAATAAATGTTCTAGATGGTTGTCTTCTGTGCCAAACAGCTCCTGAAACGATATCCCATCTGTTTTTTTTACTGTCCATTCTCTGCCTCTATTTGGTCTTCGTTTTTTTCGCATCGAACTCTTCACCCTCCATTTGGGTTTGAAGCGATCGTCTCTTGGGTAAGATCTGTTTCGCCTATGACCAAACTCAACATTATTTGCAAGCTTCTTCTTCAGGCGACCATTTATGACATTTGGAAGAAAATGAATTCTAGGTTCCATTGTGCGGTTTCTAAGCCTGCGGACGTTGTAACCCGTGACATCCAATCCACTATTCAAAGGAGGTTAGCAGGTCTTGATTCAGCCTCTAATCCTTTCCTCTCTGGTTCTCAGCAAGGTCTCTCCTATCTCTCAACTTAGTTTGGGTATATTCAGTTCTATAATCATCCAGCGCCTTAGCATTTCTCCTGGTGTTGGTTCTTTTGTTCTCATCCTGGTCAAGTATTACTCTATCTTCTCGCTCTCTTTTATCTTTTATTTCGGGTTGTATTCCTTTTTTGTTCTCATGTACGGGATTATTTGTTTGTAACCCGTACATTTGGTCTGTAGCTCAAAATGTTATCTCATTCGGGAAAGCAAAAAAGGGAAATAAATGCGGTTAAAAAAATCTCAGATGGCATTAGTACAAGTGTCGTAGAAGGCTCTTTGATTGTTATTTAATCAATGGAGGAGTGAAGTCGTTGATTGTTATGTAATCAAGGTATCGTGCTTAATCATTAGCCCAAATCACAGTTCAACAACACTCCACACATACGGACCGTCGCCTTCTTTATTTTTATAGTCGAAAATGATTTGTTGGGAAACAAGTAACGTTTTTTTTTTTTTTGAGAAAGCCGTATGTGATATTACCATACATCATGCGCACAAATATTGTAAAGCATTAGTGCTTATGAATGACCCCGTGCCGCCCGGTGCCGGTTAATCAACTGGCCAGACTTAAAAACAGTAGTTAGCTCACTACTATAGATGAGTTCTTTCAATAATACCACAGAAAGAAATGTACCCTGAAATGGTTAATGGTTAATAAATGAGGAAAAATCTAGAATTGCAAAAAAATCAGGTTTAAAAATTGGAAATCTCCTATGTAAAATTATCTTTACTTCTTCATTTGAGGTATAATACCTAACAAAAAGTAACATGAGTTGAGAAGCATTAAGTTTCTGAACAAAGAACATACGAACAGAGGTCACTGTTTGTTTGAAAAACGGCTCAAATTTCTAATTCTTGCTTTATCTCTCTTTCTTTGAGTTGTTTATTCTGATATGCAAAGTTGAATTGGGATTATTTAATAACAGATAATATTCTTCCAAACTTATGTTTTATTATCTCCTCAGATTAGACTCATTCAACGATATAATTCTGTTGAATGGCCAAGAAACTATTATAATGTTCTGAATTTAGTTCTTATCTCAATAGAGAACTATTCAGAGTTGCTTTGTATTTAAAATCTAATGTTTGAGATAAATTAGTCAAGAAAATACTCTACTTGTTCTTAATCTGAACAGTTCTCATCTCTGTAGAGAACTGTCAATAATTTAGAGTTGTTTAAAGTTGATGGTTGATATTATTTAGTCATAAAAAGCTACTCTACTGTTCTTAATCTGATCAATTCTAATCTCAGAAGCCAACTATTCATACTTCAGAGTTGTTTAATTCTTCAAATTCAAGTTGTGAAACGCAACAACATGGCATCAACCAACGAAAATAGAGTAAGCTAATGGAGATGCTTACCTTATATAAAGCCTTTTGCTTCAATGATAATCATCCCCAACACAGAATCACATATATATCATTCTCCTTTCTCGAGAAAGAAAAAATGGGCCAAACCACAATTCTCGTGGCAATAATTCTGACTATAGTTATGAATGCACAGAGCAGTTTCGTCGCGGGAGATACTCCTGATAGCAAGGTAATGCACATTATTAAATATTTCTCTTACTCAAGCAATCTGAACATATCTAAAAACCGAGTACTGTTGTTTCTATCTGATCAAATAGGTATATGTAGTTTACCTGGGAGAGAAAGAGCATGATGATCCTACGTCTGTCACTGAATCTCACCATCAGATGTTGTGGTCACTTCTTGGAAGGTATGTTTTAGTCGTTATATGTATATATCTCTAGTGAAAGATCGCATACAATTACTTACTTGATTGCCAATTTGTCATGTTTCAGCAAAGAGTCTGTCCACGATTCAATAGTATACAGTTATCGACACGGCTTCTCAGGCTTCGCAGCCAAGCTGACAGAGTCCCAAGCCCAGCAACTTTCAGGTACTTTTAAAGTTTTGATCTCCTCTGTTTCTTGACCTGACATAATCTAAGTAGTTCTTTGTCTGAACAAAAACAGAACTACCTGAAGTAGTACATGTCATACCAAATACATTATATGAACTGACAACAACTAGAACTTGGGATTACTTGGGGCTGTCTCCTGGCACTTCTAAGAGTCTCCAACATAAGGCCAAGATGGGAAGTCAGGTCATTGTCGGAGTCATCGACACAGGTATATAGGCATATGAAAATGTCTTTACTTCTCTTAATGACATGTTTATTGATTAAAATGTATAAAAAATGGTAACAGGAGTGTGGCCAGAGTCTCAAATGTTTAATGACAAAGGCTACGGACCTATACCGAGCCGTTGGAAAGGTGGATGTGAATCAGGAGAACTCTTCAATGCCTCGGTTCATTGCAACAGAAAGCTAATAGGAGCGAAATACTTTGTTGATGGCCTTGTTGCCGACGTAGGAGACGTGAACAGAACAGAGAACCCTGAGTACCTTTCCCCGAGAGACTTTAGCGGTCATGGCACGCATGTCTCCTCAACCATCGGTGGTTCTTTCCTGCCTAACGTAAGCTACTTAGGCCTTGGAAGAGGAAGCGTGAGAGGCGGTGCTCCAGGTGTTCGTTTAGCTATTTATAAGGCTTGCTGGCTTCAATCAGGGGTTTGTTCAGGAGCTGATGTCTTGAAAGCAATAGACGAAGCTATACATGATGGTGTTGATGTTTTGTCACTCTCTCTAGGATCAAAGGTTCCTTTGTATTCAGAAACTGATGTGAGGGAACTGACCTCTGTGGGAGCATTCCATGCGGTCGCAAAAGGAATTCCTGTCGTAGCTGCTGCTGGTAATGCCGGTCCAATGGCTCAGACTATTTCGAATGTAGCTCCTTGGATCTTGACTGTGGCTGCAACCACTCTAGACCGTTCTTTTCCTACAGCCATTACACTAGGGAACAATATGACAATACTGGTATACATATATAATCATGATGTGAGATAAAAAATGTTGTTCTAAAATTCTAAACCAAGATTTTGTCTTTGCTTAATGTAGGGTCAAGCAATCTTTGCCGGTCCAGAACTTGGTTTTGTTGGTCTAGCTTATCCACTTTCCGGGTAACATCGAATTACTTATTTCATGTTTTGATCAAGAATATATACCCACAAGAATGCATCTGTGGACATGATGCCTGCTAACTTTGCAGTGACTGCGAGAAGCTCTCTGCTAATCCCAACAAGACAATGGAAGGAAAAGTTGTGTTATGTTTCACAACCGAAACAACTGTCCCCCCTGTAATAAACGCTATAACTGCAGTAAGAGATGCTGGTGGTCTTGGGGTAATCATTGCAAGAAATCCAACACATTTGCTTATTCCAACTAGTAACTTTCCATGTGTTACGGTAGACTTTGAGCTCGGAACTGACATTTTGTTCTACATACGCTCAACAAGGTTTTTTCACCATCTATTTGACCAAAACTTTCATGGATCCATAACATATATGACCATAAATGTTTTGGGTTTTGTTTTGCCAGATCTTCCATAGTAAAGATACAAGCTTCAAGAACGCTTGTTGCAAATTATGTGGCGACAAAGGTAGCAACTTTCTCATCCAGAGGACCGAATTCGATTTCTCCAGCGATTCTTAAGGTATGTATGTCAGACCCTCACATACATATCCAATCCCTTGTCTCTGTTTTTAGATGTTTTGATGACCACTTTTTCTGTAATGCAGCCGGATATAGCAGCACCTGGTGTGAACATACTAGCAGCTACTTCCCTCAACGATTCTTCCAGTGTCAGAGGATTCTCTATGAAATCTGGGACATCAATGGCTACTCCTGTAGTTTCAGGAGTTGTAGTGCTCCTCAAGTCATTACACCCTCACTGGTCTCCTTCTGCAATCAAATCAGCAATTGTCACCACAGGTCCTGTTATCTTCAAATGCTTTGTTACATTAACCAGTAGGAACTTATTGACACCAAAAACACATGTTTAACATTTCAGCTTGGAAGACTGATCCATCTGGAGAGCCCATTTTCGCAGACGGATCAAGCCGCAAGCTAGCTGACCCGTTTGACTACGGAGGAGGCCTTGTGAATCCAGAGAAAGCTGCAAAGCCAGGTCTCGTATACGATATGACCACACATGACTACATCTTGTACTTGTGCGCTGCTGATTACAGTGATATTTCCATTTCCCGAGTTGCCGGAAAAGCAACAGTTTGTCCTAATCCCAAGCCGTCTGTTCTCGATCTCAACTTACCATCCATCACAATCCCAAATCTCAGAGACGAAGTCACCCTCACAAGAACGGTCACTAACGTTGGACCCGTAAATTCAGTATACAAAGTCGTGATCGATCCTCCAATGGGCGTTAATGTGATTGTCACACCAACGAAATTAGTGTTTAACTCTACAGCTACAAAACTATCTTTCACGGTTAAAGTCTCGACTACACACAAAGTGAACACTGGCTACTTCTTTGGAAGTTTGACTTGGACTGACAATCTGCACAATGTAGCCATCCCAGTATCTGTGAGAACTCAGATGCTGCAACGATACTATGACGAGAACTGATTTGTTGAAAGAACTGCTCAAAACACTATACCAAATTGTTGTGTTGATGACTATGTAAACGCATAATGCTGATGAATAATACTTTTGTGAATTTGTTAATTTATCGATTGATACTCACCGATGAGATCAACGGCGAATTCGGAGGTGGTGCCGGTGCGGAGCCTAAACGTCTGAGTACTCCATTGATGAGCTCTTCCGACTAAACTTCAGAACTAAAAAAAAGCCCCTGAAATCGTCTTCAGGAACAAGATACTGTTCCTACAAAACTGAAACAAGAAAATTGATAATAAAAAAAAAACGACAAGCTGCATAAAAACAAGAGATCCAAAGGGCAGAGAAACTAGAAAATGGGGATAAGAGAGCAAAGTAGAAACTTCGTCAATATTAGTCAACTTCACAAGTTCACATAAAGTAATATACATACAGGTATACAGTATAAGTTAAAAAGACTCAAAAGTTATTTTTTAGGGGTTTCAATTCTCATCATAGTAGTTCTGCAGAATCTGCGTTCTCACAGATAAAGGAATTGTAACGTTATGTACAGAGTCACTCCAAGTCAAGCTTCCAAAGTAGTAGCCTGTGTTGATTTTGTGTGTGGTCGAGACTTTGACTTTGAAAGAAACCCTTTTGGTCGTTGAGTTGAACACTAGCTTCTCTGGCGTCACGGTCACTTGAACGCCCAACGGTGCCTCAACTGCTACTTTATAGACCGAGTCAAGTGGTCCAACATTAGTGAGTATTCTGGTGAGAGTGGCTTCGTCTTTGAGGTTTGGGATTGTGATGGAAGGCAAGTTGAAATCAAGAACAGATGGTCTGGGATTCGAACATAAGGTTTTTTTACTGGCAAGCTGAGAGATCGCTGACTCGTTGTAACCAACAGAGCACATGTAGAGAATATAGTCTTCGAGTCCCAAGTCATAGACAAGACCTGGTTTTGCTGCTTTCTCTGGATTCACAAGGCCTCCACCATAGTCAAACGGATCAGCTAGCTTCCGAGGTGACCCCTCTGCAAAAATCTTCTCTCCAAATGGATCTGTTCTCCAAGCTGCACAGTAATTTAAGACACTTAACGTTAACGAGATCCCTACTCTCTAGTGGAGCTAACTCGATTTGTTTGGGTGAAGTAGATGAGAACCTGTAGTGACAATGGCTGATCTAATGGCAGCGGGAGACCAATTACGGTGTCTAGCTTTAAGAAATGCAACAACTCCTGAAATTACAGGAGCTGCCATTGATGTTCCTGACAGCATAATGAATCCTCGGTCGTTGAAAGTTGAATTGGTGCTTGTAGCCGCCAATATGCTCACTCCTGGTGCTGCTATATCAGGCTGCATTACGACATTCATAAGATTAAAAACATCTTGCGGCAAGTTCTTTGTATGTGTCTGGATTCTAACGTACTTTAAGGATCGCGGGTGTAACTGAACTGGGTCCTCTTGATGAGAATTCTGCCACCTTTGTACCAACTGGTTGTCCAACGAGTGTTCTTGAAGGTTGTATCTTCACAACAGACGATCTGCAAACCACAAGTCCAGCAAAAAAATACAGCCTCAAATACCTTCACAACAAGCGTTGTTCACTTTTCTCAAACTTCATACTGTTCATACCCTGTGGAACGTATGTACAGAAGTATATTTGTCCCCAGCTCGTAATCAACAGTTACACAAGGGAAATCATCGACACATGGTGCGAGAGTATCGCCTGGGTTTCTTGCTATGATTACGCCGAGACCACCGGCTCTCTTCACATAGCGCGCAGCGCTTGATACAGCGCTGTAACGTTTTGATGTTGTGAAGCACAACACAACTTTCCCCGCCATTGTAAGATTGGAATTGATGAGAAGACGCTCACAGGTACTGCATTACAAGAACCAGAGTAAATTTAGAGAATTGATGTCCTCAAACAGGTCCTAATAAGAAACTAGAGATTTAGTATTACCCAGAAAAACTTTCGTTGCTGTTCCCTGGATTCTCTGGGTAAACCAAGCTAGTGAAACCAAGTTCTGGACCTGTGTACATCGCTTGACCCTGGAATACAGTGACCGAGCTCACAATAAGACAGATAAACAAAAATTATGTTGTGAAAACATGTAATCTGGGTATAACAATATGTGTGTATATCTTGTTGTTACCAATATCACTTTATTGTTCCCAAGTGTAATAGGAGTGGGAAAGGACCGATCTAAAGTAGTTGCAGCCACTGTCAAAATCCAAGGAGCCGTGTTTCCAACAGTCTGAGCCGCTGGGCCAGAGTTTCCACCTGAACAAACAACTGTGATACCCTTTAAAACTGCATGGAATGCTCCAGTAGCTATCCCATCGCGAATATCGGTTTCAGGGTAGAAAGGAACTCGATAGCCAATAGACAGGGACAAAACATCAACACCATCATGTATAGCTTCATCCATAGCTTTCAAGAGGTCAGCAGATGAACAAGTTGTTATGTCTAGGGAATCAAGATACCAACAAGCTTTGTACATTGCTATACGAGCACGAGGTGCACCACCTCTCACAGTCCCTCCGGCTAGGCCTTTGTAGCTTATGCTTGGCAAGGCCGAACCACCTGCTATGGTGGCGACGTGCGTGCCATGACCATCAAAGTCTCTAGGGGAAATAAAGTCAAGTGATTCTGTGGAGTTGAAGCTTTCATACGTCGCAAGAAAAGCATTGATGAAGTACTTGGCTCCTATAAGCTTTTTATTGCAGTGAGAGGAGTTGAACATCTCTCCAGATTCACAGCCTCCTTTCCAGTGACTCGGCACCGGCCCAATCCCATTGTCGTTAAAGACTTCAGATTCTGGCCAAACTCCTGCAACCACAGAAAATAGTTTATTGTTTGAGACGCTAAGACGGATGAGTCAGAAGCAACATGGGAATTAAGAACAGATCAATCTACAATGTAACAAGGAAAATATGTACAGATTTATACACTCATACCTGTGTCAACAATGCCGATAATAACTTCTTCACCCATGTTAGTGTCATTTAGAAGATTTTTTGGATTGGCGGCAGAAAGGCCTAAGTAGTCCCAAGTCCGAGTTGTTGCTAGTTCGTAGAAACTATCAGGCGTGACATGAACAACTTCAGGTAAATCTGTTGCCATAGAGCATCAGCAATGAAGAAAATTTCAGATGGGTTTGATGAGACAAACGAAGATATAGTGTTTGTTTCCGAGAAAGCCAAGACAATATGAGATTTGGGACAAAGTACCTGCTATCTTCTTAGCTTGGGAATTGGTGAGCTTGGCTGCGAAACCTGAGAAGCCATGTCGATAACTGTACACCATTGAATCATGGGCATCCTCTTTACTGTAACATGAAGCAAACAAAATAAATCTGAGTAACAGAATGAGACTTTATTATACTTGAGAAAGAGAAGCTACCTTTTACATACCTTCCAAGAAGTGACCACAACATCTGATGGTGAGATTCCGTGACAAACTCTGGATCATCATGCTGCTTCTCACCCAAATACACTATATGAACCTATTGATCATTACAAAAAAGAACCAACTTTGTAAGTCAATTGGTCTTCGTATATGTTGTCTGATAAAAGAAAGACCTTATATAACTGTCACGTACCTTGGTCTTGCGCTCTGCACCAGCTCGTGCCACGAAACTGCTCTGCCCAATAAGAAGTATTAAAAGACTTAGCACCACAAGAATTGAGCTTCTGTAATACTTCATTCCAAGCAGAAAAAGGAGTCTCATTTGAAATCTCAAGCCACAAAGAAAGAGAGATGTAATATACTTTGGGACTAATATTGAGGATGCTTAATCATTTATATAGATGTCTACTCAAAGGAGAGTCTGACCAAGAACGTTTCTATCTCTTGGAACTTTTCCAACTTTTGCTTGTTTGCATCTCTTAATATAAATCATCTTCAGAACTACAAAGTCCACTTACAAAAGCTAAAGAATATATCAAGCAGTGTGGCTTAGTCAACTAAAGTATAGTTTATTTGCAACCAACAAGGCAATGAACATACCTCAACACAAAGTATTGGTAACTATAACAGGCAATGAATGGACCAAACACATCAATCAACAGGAAAATTAGGAGCAAACCCGTTTTGGTTTGGCTCAGTCACGCTTGCTTAGGTTCTCTTGAGCATGCGTTTTGACCAAAGTAACGCGTTTCTTGAAAAGACAGCTTCTTTTGCCAAGTCTCACTTGGTATGCTCCATGCTGATTCATTAGCTCTATAGAAATCAGAAAAAGTCTCCGAAGTTTTAAGAAAACAGGAGAAGTTAGAGAGACAGAGGCTACAGTGTCTCCGAGGTTCGCCAAATTACGTAAACTCTTTTTCATTTTTTCAGCGAATATTGCTGATGAAGTTAGAGAGACGGAGGTTTAGGATCGAAAAAAATTAGGTTAAAATTCGTGTACAGCAAAAAAGGAAGGCCGATTTTCCGGGAAATTATACGGTGGAGAGGGACGAAGTTAGGGATGTTTATAAGAACAATCGTGAATAGAAACTGATAACTGAGAGAACGAAAATCCTTCAGGTCCATAGATTTTACTGAGAGAGTCTACAAGGATACTACAAAATTCCCCAAGATGCAGAAAAGAAGAATCAAGAGATTAGTGAAATTGATACTGTAACTCTGATCGGAGACGAGACTGCTGAGTGGTGAAGATTGTCGGAAACGAGGAAGAGTCAGAGACAACCCTCATTGGGCTTTGTCGACCCACATGTAAAATGGGCTTTAAAACGCAGACAATATTCTGAAATTTAATGCAGAAACCCTCAACTTCGGACGAATTCATTTTTAAACCCTTAACGATTGTTTGTTATGGTTTTATCCTTAATTTACAATTTCATTTGTTGATTGAAAGATCTGTGTTATGCTTCCATATATATGTATAGACTGCAATTTTTGTGCCGTTTACTAATGTACTTGGCATTTATGGTAGATTTAAATTGATCAGGCAACATAGCCATACCCATACATAACATTCAGAATTATGTGTTCAGAATTATGTGTTGAGGCATTCTAACAGACCGGTAGACTTGAATCTTGTTTCTACATGATCTGATCAATTTGACCCGACATTCAAAAGTTTCGAATGAAGAATGAAGAGTGTCCTGTCCCAATAAGCACCTACAAATTTTTAAATAAAAAGCGTAATTTTAAAATGCATAAATTTCAATAAAAAAAATAAAAACTGATAACAAATTCTACCTTAAGTTGCTTTATGATGATTCTGAATCTGTCATCATTAGTTATTGTGGTCACTTTTGGAATTTCTATGATTTAGTACTTGAACATATGTATATTGAAAGATCTCAGATAGTTTACTTACTTGACTGTCATGTTTCAGCAAAAGAGGGTATCCATGATTCTATCCATGATTAAGTACTGTACAGTGCCAAGCCCAGCAAATCTGAGGTGCTTAACACTTCTCTCTATCTTGGCTTGAAATAACCAACAATTTCATATTTACAGTACTTGGGAACAGTATAACTATATTGGACACACATGTCAATGCCGCCCTCCTCGATAAATGATAACACATGTTCTTGTAAAAGTGAAATGAGTTTGCAATCTGTAACACTGCTCAAATAGATTAACTGTCAAGCATAAAATCGATATATAGTTATATACTATGCGATCAAAAATTTAGATGAAACAGTTTGTTTGTAAGAGCTACAAATGCATACAAGATGGTTATATACTATGAATACAATCGAAATGTCACCTGCATTTGTTGTAATACTCATTTTCAATACAAATTTAATACAAGATAAGAATCAGCCATAAATTGGTCAAACATACTTCCTTTTTTCTCTTCGAATAGTTGATTCATATAGAGACATTTAGATATAAAACTACAAATGCAAAAACACATAACACAGAACTCAAATTTTACCATTTATCTAAACCGAAGATGAACCGTTTGAGTTCGATCAATTTCCATTATATGGAAAAATAAAATTGATCAAGGTCAAACAGAACCCTTCATTACATCAGTAAGAAATTAACAGAACACATAGTCGAAGGTGGGTTATACATGATCACAAGTTACTAATAATAACTGATGATAAACTGTGTTATCTTATCTTCTTCAAACTGCAGCAATGGTGTTGTAAAAATCAGAGAAGCGTAGAGAATCTTGATCCAAAGCTCTGGTCTGATGCAGCATAGCGTCTTCTTCAAAACCTTGAGAAACAGAGATCGGATCAGAATTGATCAAAAGACTTCCCGTAGTCTCCTCTTGAGTACTCTCCAAGAGGCAAACATCGAAGACTGAAGTATCAAAAGCCATGTCGAAATCTATCAACTGATCAATATCCACCTCTTGATCGAATCCAACGTCCAAGCTCCCAGTTAAACCCTTGTCGTCGTCGTTGTTGTTGTTAATGTTATTCTTCTCCTCCGTACCGCAAAAGCTTTCACAAATCGCAACTATTTGACTCTGCTCTTCAGTCATCGCGTTGAAACTCGCAGGTAAATCATCATCGGGGATTAGGGTTTGACCCGGCTCGCTCTTCTCGTTGTCGAATTGGCGAGTTAGGGTTTGATCCGAGTTAGAGCTTACCTGACTCTGTTCTTCAGTCATCTCGTTGAAACTCGCAGGTAAAGCACTATCAGGGATTAGGGTTTGATCCGGCTCACTCTTCTCGTTGCCCAATTGACGAATTAGGGTTTGATCCGAGTTAGGGTTTGATCCAACACATCGCAACTCCTTAAATTTTCTCAACAGACTCGACATGGAGTTCATAGCGTCCATCAATTCTTGAGGATTCTCCGATTGGGCAAGAACCTCGTCCTCCCACCACAACCCTAAACCCAGATCCTTGCGAGCCAAGCAAACACCAATGTCTTCCTCCCTCGTCTCTTCCCGAGCCACAGGAGGAAGACGCTTTCCCTTGAGAAAAGCAGAGACAACAGAATCTACGGAAGAGTGGCCAAAGGAGAAGAAGGAGACATTGGAATTCGAAGAAGGAGGAGTAGCTAAAACGGCTATTTGTGCGTCGGAGAGAAGACAGAGTTGCGAAGCTTTACTGAAAAGTCCGTAACTTCGTTTGGAGAAAGCAGTCGCTAGTGATTCTTTCTTCGTTATCTTCTCCATTGGAATCTTCCTCTTGGTGCCACCTCTTTTCACCATATCTTCGTTTTCTTAATTAATTTCACAGCAACGGAGAACAATTACGAGATGGGTTTTTTTCTTTGTGGAGGCAAATTTGTTTTATGGAGGCAAATTTGTTTTATGGAGGCAGACAAGTGATGCACTCTCTCTCGTGTATATATAGAATTATAGATGCTCAAAAAAGGAAACCTAACTTTGATATCAAACCGATATCGGTTTAATTAAACCAATTATAGCTACCGTTCTAAGTCGAACCACTAGTTGTTTTGCCGCGTTAAATTAAATAAACGTTATTAGTCAAAATCATACCACTTACAGTACTTCCAATTTCTTCGGTTTACCGTTTACATAATTGCTAAACCAATCAAACCGAAACTAATATACCAATTGTCAGGGACAACGCATATTGGGCTTAGGCGTCCCAAAGATTAAATGGGCTTTTGAATGAGAGAACGCATAAGATATTTTGGAATTAAATGTAGAAGCCCTTTTGAATGAGAGAACGCATAAGATATTTCGGGAAAATTATATTTTAAACCCTTAACAATTGCTATCTAATGTTGTAAGCCCTTACAAATTTTTATTTTTTGCCTTTCAATATTCAAACTACATGAGATTCTCTGGTTTCGCTCTCATATCAACACATAGGCCATTTGCCTGAGTTTGTCTGGAATAGAATTTTAATCATGTTCTTGCTTGGTGCCTAAGGCATTGTAAATGTTTTAAGATGTTTCGTTGCCTTCTTAAGATGTTTCGTTGAAATTGAACCATTCAGTAGTCTCTTTTTGTTATGAATTTAACAAAATAAAAATAGGTCTTTTACAGAATAATTAAAAAGATGGTATTTGTCAAGAAGCTTTCCCCTTTCTAATCAAGTAATCAACGATAGAATTTTTTGAGTAGTTCGATACATATATAGAAGAATTCACAAATGGTTAGTCTCTTTCTTTTTTCCCTTGTTCAATTCTCATCGTAGTAGTTTTGCAAAATTTGCGTTCGCACAGATAAAGGAATGGTGACATCATGCACAGAGTCACTCCAAGTCAAGCTGCCAAAGTAGTAACCTGTATTGATCTTGTGTGTGGTCGAGACTGTGACTTGAAAAGAGACCCTTTTGGTCGCCGAGTTAAACACTAGCGTCTCCGGAGTCACGGTCACTTGAAAGCCCAGTGGTGGCTCAACAGCTACTTTATAGACCGAATTGAGTGGTCCAACATTAGTGAGAGATCTGGTGAGAGTGACTTCCTCGTTGAGGTTTGGGATTGTGATGGAAGGCAAGTTGAAATCAAGAACAGATGGTCTAGGATTTGAGCAGACTGTTGATTTCCCAACAAGCTGAGAGATTGATGACTCGTTGTAACCAGCAGAGCACAAGTAGAGAACATAGTCTTCGAGTCCCAAGTCATATACAAGACCTGGTTTTGCAGCTTTCTCTGGATTCACAAGCCCTCCACCATAGTCAAACGGATCAGCTAGCTTCCGAGGTGACCCATCTGCAAAAATCTGCTCTCCAAACGGATCCGTTCTCCAAGCTGCAGGGTAATGAAATACACTTATCGAGATCAGTTTGTTCTTGTGGAGCTAATTTGTTTGAGTGGAGCAGATAAGAACCTGTAGTGACAATAGCTGATCTAATTGCAGCAGGAGACCAATCACGGTGCAGAGTTTTGAGAAGTGCAACGACTCCTGAAATTACAGGAGCTGCCATTGATGTTCCTGACAACATAATGAAACCTCTGTCGTTGAAAGTTGAATTGGTGCTTGTAGCTGCCAATATGCTAACTCCTGGTGCTGCTATATCCGGCTGCATTCATATGATTGATAACAATTGAGGCAAGAAAATTTGATGGGTCTGAATAGAAAAGAACAAGCAAGTATTATGTACTTTGAGGATCGCAGCTTCAATTGAATTAGGCCCTCTTGATGAGAAAGTTGCCACCTTTGTACCAACTGGTTGTCCAACAAGTGTTCTAGAAGGTTGTATTTTCACAACAGGAGATCTGAAAACCACAAAAAGTAGTCTTAGATACCACCAAATATAACTTGTTTTTCTTACAGTTCAAAGTGGTGAAGAGTCTTAGATCTAAATTTTCATACCCACTAGACCGTATGTAGAGAAGTATATCAGTCCCAAGCTCGTAGTCAACAGCAACACAAGGGAAATCATCTAGACATGGTCGGAGAGTGTAGCCAGGGTGTCTTGCTATGATTACGCCGAGACCACCAGCTCTCTTCACGTAACGTGCAGCCTTTGATACAGAAGCACTGAAAGGTGACGTTGTGAAACACAACACGACTTTCCCCATCATTGTACGATTAGAATTCACGGAAAGCTCCTCACAAGTACTGTATTTACAAGAACCAAGGTGATGTCAGAGAATTGATCTTCTTCATATTGCAAGATTGGGGAAAGACTGACTGGACATAGGTCCTAATAAGAAACTAGAGATTTGATATTACCCAGAAAAGCTTTCGCTGCTTTTCCCTGGATTCTCTGGGTAAACCAAGCTAGTGAAGTCAATTTCTGGACCTGTGTAGATTGCTTGACCCTGCAATATCGTGTCTCAAATCATAACAAGACACATATAATCATGAAATAACACTATATGGTGTATATATCTTGTTGTTACCAATATCACTTTATTGTTCCCAAGTGTAATAGGAGTGGGAAAGGACCGATCTAGAGTAGTTGCAGCCACAGTCAAGATCCAAGGAGCTATGTTTGTCACGGTCTGAGCCTGAGGGCCAGAGTTACCACCAGCACAAACAACTGTGATACCCTTTAATACTGCATGGAATGCTCCAGTAGTTATCCCATCGCGAATATCAGTTTCGCCATACAGAGGAACCTCAGAACCTAGAGAGATGGAAAGAACATCAACACCATCATGTATAGCTTCGTCCATTGCTTTCAAGATGTCAGCTGCTGAACAAGTTGTTATCTCCGAATCATCAAGATACCAACAAGTCTTGTACATTGCTATACGAGCATGTGGTGCACCACCTCTCACAGTCCCTCCAGCTAGCCCCTTGTAGCTTATGTTGGGCACATAAGAACCGCCTGCAATGGTAGCAACATGCGTGCCATGGCCATTAAGGTCTCTTGGGGAAATGAAATCAAGAGATTTTGTGGTGTTGAAGCTTTTGTTCTCTGCAAGAAAACCATTGATGAAATACTTTGCTCCTATGAGCTTGTTGTTGCAGTGAGAGGAAGTAAAATTCTCTCCTGATTCACATCCTCCTTTCCAGTGGCTCGGCACAGGCCCTATTCCATTGTCGTTAAATACTTCAGATTCAGGCCATACTCCTGCAACCAACATAAGACAATTTAGTCTCATAGAAAACAACACAAGACTTGAGATATTTGCAATGAGCGGAGAACAAATGTGCAGATAAACCACTCATACCTGTGTCTACAACACCGATGATAATTTGTCCACCCATATTAGCATCATTTAAAAGATTCTTCGGATTGGCGGCAGAAAGGCCCAAGTAATCCCAAGTCCGAGTTGTTTTCAGCTTGTAGAAACTATCCCGTGTGACATGAACAACTTCAGGTAAACCTGTCCTTAGAGAGCATTAGCAATGAGAAAAAAAAAAAAAAAAAAAACAGATGGTCTTGTTGAGAGAATCAAGATGTCATGTAGACTTATGTTATAGGTTCCTGATTTCTCAAATGCCAGAGATTGTGAGAATACGAACGAGTACCTGCAATCTTCTTGGCTTGGGATTTGGTAAGCTTGGCTGCAAAACCTGAGAAGCCATGTCGATAACTGTACACCATTGAATCGTGGGCATCTTCTTTACTGTAATCATGGGAACAAAAGAAAGAAACCTGAGTAACAGTTTGAGACATTATTATAAATGGGAAAGAGAAACTACCCTTTACATACCTTCCAAGAAGTGACCACAACATCTGATGATGAGATTCCGTGACAAATTCAGGATCATCATGCTGCTTCTCACCCAAATACACTATATGAACCTATTGATTATTACAAAAAGAACCAAATTTGTTAGTCAATTTGTCTCTGTTTATGTTGTCCGATAATAATAAAGGAACTTGTATAAGTGTCATGTACCTTGCTCTGATCAGCAACGGTTAAACTGATCTGCCCATTGAGAAAGATTACAAGAATTAGTACCACAAAAATTGATGATCTATAATTCCTCATTACAAGCAGAAAGTCAGAGAGAGAGAAACGTAATTCTAACGAGGGAGAATAAGCATTATACCTAGATGACTAGTAAAGACGTGTTTGGTGGCCAGGAAAGTTTCCATTTTTTCGTTGAATTGTTCTTAACTGTCATCATCCTCAAAACTACAATTTAATTAATCAAACCCAACTAAAATCTAAAAGGAATATATCAAGATGCGTGCTTCTAGTCAACTAAACTCTTAGTTTATTGCAATGTGTGAAGCAAACACATCAACAGCTAAAATAAGATCGATGATTAACCTCAAAAGGGTTGATTGATTCATGCTTAGTCCAACTTCTCTAGGTTAGTCTGCACCACGATTAAAGAAGATTGCGTCTTTTGCTAATTCCATAGCTTTACTTGGTACCTTCCATGTTGAATCTTTAGCTCCATAGAAATCAAGAAAAAAATTCTCAGATTTCAGAAACACATAGTCAAAGTTAGCTTCACAATGCTCTCTGCAACAACCTATATAGTTTCCCGCATAATGTAAAAATTTATAATTTTTCTTAGAAATGTCTGAAAGAAATTTAAGATCAGTACACAGTGGGCTATTAATTTCTGCGCCGCTGACAAGAGAGATATCGCTGCGGCGGACGTCCGACGAAGACGATACCGAACTAGGAGAATCACGCGGGTTTGTATATTAAATAGATTTTCTTACTCATACAATCATTATATTATTTGCCAAGTAAATCGAGTTGGATACATAGATTTGGATGTCGTTTTGATTAATGAAAATCTTATGTTTTGATTGGTATATTTTGATTGGCTGATGTTAATTAATTATTATTATTTTATGTCGTTTTAGTGGAAAGTATTAAATTAGCCATTAATGAAAATACTCTATTCAGATTGGCTCAATCCTATTTTTCGGATTAACAGTATTTACACTTATATCATTAATGAAAATACTTTATTCTGATTGGCTCAGACCTATTTTTCAGATTGACAGTATAATATATATTTAGTGGTTAATGGATTTCTAAAAAAAAACATATTAGTTCTGTTGGTTGGTGGCCCAACTTTCTAAACCAACATGTAACAAGTTTGAATCCCTGCATCTCTAAACAATTTTTTTTCTTATTTCTCTTATTTAATTAATCTGTGTTTGTAAAAAAAAATCTTGTGATTGAAAATTGGAAACTTTATACAGTATTTGTTTATTTTATGTAGTTATTATACATTTATAAAGCATGAACGTGACATACCTTAATTTATCACTTTTCAAAAGGGAAGTTCTCCTCAACATCAATAATCAAATATTTGATTAATAAAAATATAAAATCGTATCTAGGTTTTTTGGATTACATAACAATCGAATAATCAAAATAGAATATTTGATGATATCAAAAATTATAATAATAAAAAAAGCATTAACCCTACATCACTTTTTCTAATAAATACTTTGTATTTTCTCTCATAGTAGTCACAAGTTTTTTCTTTTTTACGTTTTTTATCTATGAATTGTTTCATGATATCGACCTCCTTCTTTTGATTTCTGTTTAGTGCTTTTTCTTTAGGTTTAATCTCTATCAATATTCTTGATTGCTTTTCTTTATATTTTTTTTGCTCTTTTGATTATTATGTGTTCTGTGTATTGTTGTTAGCTATAGGGTTTTGTTATTGGTCATCACCGCATCAACATATCTTTTTGTCTGTTTTGTGTTCTGTGTATTGTTGTTAGCTCTAGGGTTTCAATATTGATTCATTTGTAATTATATCTTTGTTTTTGTTGAATTTGCTATGAAACTGATCGTTTGATTTTGATTTTTGTAAGATATATGGATTAAATAAATAGAAGAGAGCAACGATTGGCAGCAAATAATATTTCGGTGTGGACTTGCGCATCCCTTCCATATTTCTGTTTTTGTTCTTAGTCGATTTTTGTTACGTGTTCTTTTCTTTTTCAAGGGTTCTAAGAAAAAGGTAGAAGATGAGGAAGACCACATAAAAGAAATTGACGTTGAGGAGAAACCAGAAGAATTAGATCAATCACTCATATAACAAAAATCAATCTTAACTCTGTTTATATTTGTTGATATCACCAATAAAAAAGATATGCCATGCCACTGAATTTTGTATTTTTTATTTCTTCTACTCTAACTACTACGATTGAATTTGTTTTCTTTGACAATCTGATTATTTAGGACAATTTCTTCAACCTTTTGTCCTTTTAAGATTATAATCTTAGACATTGTCCCTCTAAGATTTATTTTAATTAAAATCCAGAATTATCCTTAAATTTTCATTCTAGTAATTTTTTAACAATTTTTTTAATTCAGAAAAAATAAAAAAAGAAAAAATTATAAACTTGTGGGTCATACAACAACTACACGACATTCATGCTTTAATGGTTGATCTCGATTTTAAAGATCTTTTACCGGTTAAATCTCTTGATTTGCCCATGTTATTGCTCTCTGCGTCCAGGTGATATATAATGACCATGAACTGAATCTTATAAAGTAACTTTCAAAATCAAGAAAACATGTTTACATATTTTTGAGGTTTTTTTTTTACAGAGCTGGAGTTTAGACCACCACTGAAGTTGTGCACGCACTAGTTGTGTTAGTGCAGAGAACTAATTCTTGTTCATAACTTTATTAGGAATTTCAGAGGAACTGACTTGCAAAAAAAAAATTTATGGAGTCAAAATTATCAGTCATTAAAAAAGAAATCAATAGAAAGCTACAAGAATAAACGAATCAAGTGCTGAGTTTTGCACATAAGTTTTTTTTTTTCTTGAAATTTTATGTCGAAGAAGAGGAGAAGAAAGAAGTGTGTGGAAGAAAAGAAAAAAAAAATCGTAAAATAAAAAAGGAAACTGAATATTTAGTTTCTAAAAAATATTTTTAAAAATATTCAGTTTGATGGATAAACATCTAAAACCTAAATTTTCTGAGATTCTGTTAATGATTTCTTAATTACTTACTAGAATTCATATTCAATATTTTGTAGAACAAAGAAGGATTACTAGAATACACATTCTAGTCAAATCTAGAACGTAGTGAAAAATGTAGAACATGTATTCCCGAAACTATAGAACGGTGAAAAGTCGGTAGAATACGTATTCTATACCACTAATAGAATGAAGAAGAATATATAGAACATCGATTCTAGGTTTCGTAGATTGTAGAGAAATATCTAGAAAATATATTCTAGAAAATCGTTGAATGTAGAATATGTTTTCTACATGTTGTGGAAAACAATTTTAAAAAATTAAAACTTTCTATAACTGATTTTCGATAATAAATTTCTTTCTTTTTTCGGTATTTTCAATTTTTTCAATATATTAAACATTAAATTTGCATTTTTGAAATTAATGTAAACATTAATTAAAGAGTAATGAAGTCCAAAAGTGAAAAAAATTAGAAAGTCCTATAGAAACAATTGTTTGCAAAATGTGTCCTAAATTTACAATTCTCTCTTTTTTTTTTAAGATTTAAAATCTGTATGTCAAGGTAACTCAATATTCTTTTCAAAATTCATTATATACGTATAGTAAGTTTTTTTTTTTTTTTGGTTTTTGTTCTACAATTTAGTCAAATTCTTTTCTTTATATGGTTCTTAAGGGTTCTTAATAAAGGTCGGGAGTTGAGGTATTGCCTTAAAACTCTTAGTTTGTCTATTTATATTTCCTCTCGCTTTGTTTTTCTTCTAATTGTTTTTAGATCATATAAAAACATGTAGTAGAATTATTATAAAAAAGGAAAACCCCATAAATCCTAGAAGTATTTTCGTATAAATGCTTTGCTCTTTTTCTCATATTCATTACGTGTTAGATTTTGATTTTGTTCTAGGGTTTAATAGAGCTTCTTTTATTTAAGTTTATTTATAGTTTGTGCCTATCTGTATCTCTATAGTATTATATGTTTCTAATTGATATGTTCAATGTAATGGTGCTGATTTTGTAGTTCTGATTTTTTCATTATCTATTTTCTTAGGTCACAGCAATCATGGTTTATAGGCGAGTGGATATAATCAGTCATGATGAAGAAACTTTCAGAAGGTTGACGACTTTGTAGTTCTTTTAACTCATTTAGTTTTTTTGTTTGTTTTGATTTTTGCTCTTTCTATTTAATTAAGACACGTTAGTTTAATGGTTTAACACGTCGGTTTTTTATGGTCGAAATTTTTTTCCTTTTGTTGTTAAATTATCTATTTACTTTATGGTTTTCAGATTATGTTCAATCTGATCTCTCAGTGAATTATTGAAACAGCACACACGTTCAAACGACATTAACATTATATCATGCGTCTGTTTGTTTACTAATCAAGGCACGACGATGACACAATCATCAAAATCTCTTCTTGGTATGATCTGTTATGTTGTCTTTGAATTGATTCACTTCTTTGAATATTATTTTTCTATTTTTTTCTTGAGATATATACTGTTTGTTATTTGCCAATCAGTACATGCTTTTCAAGTTAACGATTTTTTTTTGTGGATCAGTGAATAATGTTGGGTTTCTAGGGTTAAATTCTCTTCCAATCAACAAAGATGAGTCTTTGAGTCTTCTCTGGTCGATCTCCCTTATTTTATAGCTGATAACTGTGAGTTTCTTAAATTTTTTTGGATTCTAGACTTTTGATTTAAATTGTTTAATTTTTCTCTATGGATCAGAAGAGAGAGAATTTCAATGGACTGAAGTGCTTTCTTTGGAACCTAGAGCCTTCGTCTAGAATAATTTATTGGTAAGTGTTCTTGATTTTAAGAAATTAAAGATAGATTTCAATTGATTGAATATTTTTTTGCAATGATTTTCTTTCAGCTTTTTATGTCTTAAATCAAATTATATTGCTTAAGTTATACTGTAGCTTAATTAAAAAAAGCTTTAATGATCAATTTACTATTTTATTTGACCAGGCGATTGATGAATGTGAATATTCAATCATCTATCGTAGATAGCCTAACCGTAAATTGAAGAGATAGCAGGTTTGGTTTCTTTTCTCCATGGATGCTCATATTCATATC